ACCTACTTTGCTACTTTCACAACTGATATTTATTTGCGCATCTTTTGTGTGCATTGATCGTATTACGTAATCCAGCTAATTAAAACTTCAAACATATCGCAACAAACTTTCCCCTATATTTGACTGTTATCTGAGATCTGTGTGTGTGGTGTATTTGTTCTGCAACTTAATGTGTCAATTAGTGATTGTGTGAATCGTGCGTAAGATGATTTACAACTTTTGTTATTCGTATTTTTTAGTCTCAATGGATCAATTCGTGACGATTATATTAAAATAAAAGAATGTAATATAGAGCTACAATTATCTTATACAATTTTGAATTTGAGGTATTATAATCTAAACTTGATTTATAAATTTTTTAAAATGATTTTTCAAATCTATTATTTTTCATGACTTTGATGAATTTTTTTGTAATGTTTTCATTAATTTATGATAATTTATGTTTTTATATTATATAATAATATATTATATATTGTGTTTTTCAATTTTATTTGAAATGTTTGTTTAATTTCATAGTAAATAAACAATAAAATAATTTTGGAACGATAATTTAATTTTTATTAATTATTTATTATTTTCCTTAAAATTCTCAAATTCTGAAATTCCTTAAATTCTTCTATATGATAAAAAAAAAATTTGGAATATATTATTATTCGTCGATTGTTATTTATTAAGTTATAAGCAATTGAAATTAGACGAATCGAGAGATAGAGCGAGACAAGTCTATCTTCATCCCTTTATTTTCTTCTTGCTTCATTTAAAAAACTCTAATTATTTATAATTTAATATAATATCATAATTTTTGTATTTGTTTTGATTCCAGAATTCTGAAAAATGAATATAAAAATGAATATATTCTGTATAATTTTGAATGAGAAATTTTGAAAAATATATAATACTAAACAAGAAAATATTGGAATAAAAAGTGAAACAAAATATTTATTTCAAGTAAAATTGAGAATACAAAATTATTGGAATGAAAATCCAATGAAAATCAGCATTTCTTTCAGGTTTACTAAATATCACGAATAATTTTTACGAAAAGAAGTTAACCTTTAATTCCATTTTAAGAAAAGATCAATTCGCAATATCAAGAGTCAATAAAATTACGCATACATTCTTTCTCGAAAAGAAAGTTGTTTCGTGATATGTGTAATACAAAAATTAGCATGAATCTGATCTTCTACAAATTTTCTACAATTACATTAATATCGATTTTTCTTTCATAGAAGATAACAGATTTTTACATATAAATAAATATTACAAAAAAAATATAAAACAATGTATATATAAATTCTAGAAAAATATAAAATGTAGAATATAAAATTATTATTTTTATTTTAAAATGTCATAATCTGTGTTTCATAACAATTTTTTTATCCTTCGTTAAATCTTAATAAATAAGTATATATATAATAAATTTAAATGATCATCTTATGTATGTGAAAGTAATTAAAATAAAATTACTCAAGAATTTTATTCGTTTCAAAACTTTGAAACTTTCGTTTCGCATAAAATTTTTGAAAGTAAAAAAGATTTTTACTAAAGATTTATCATTTTTTATTTTATCGATTATTCAGAATAGAATTTCTCAAGATTTGACGTTTTATAAATTATGTAATAATACATTAATTGTATTATAAAATTATATCTTTTAAAATCCCTAAATATTGTGCACATACTTTTAAAAATTAAAAAAAAATATAATAATATAAACCAAAACGTTTAAATTGATTTCAAATACTTATAATATCTAATAAAAATATACAAATATATAAATTTATAATATTTTAATATATTTTATTTTAATGAAATTTTAATGAATTATTTTATTTTAAAGAAAAATTTTTCAAGATGCAAAATAATAAAATTATTAATTATAAAAAATTATATATAAAACTCACAAATAAAGAACAAACAATAATAAATTTTTTAAATAATGTATTGTAAATCCATTTATCGACTTGATTTCACAATAACAATTTCATTTTCTTTTAACAATGAAATTTTCTTAAATTTAAGCGGATCGTGTACGCGTGTCACGATTTCTAAAATTTCTTTATTCTCTAACACAAAGATGTAAGAGCATAAAAGATATCGTGTAAAGTAATTTCGAAACTCTTTTAAAGAAGTTACTTTTTCTTTTTCTCTCTCTCTCTCTCTCTCTCTCTCTCTCTCTCTCTCTCTCTCTTAATTTTCATTTCTTATATTTAAAAGTATATCCAACATTGGTTTGAGAAGATTGTTCATAGATATCGATGACGTGCCTTAGTGAATCACGCACAATCGCAACTGTCGTTTTCTAACAGGGTACTTGACATTCCTAAGGAAACGAGAATTTATTACAGCTACGTACATATTCCTTATGTTTTCTATAAAAGAGGAGTCTTTCGGTATATAATTCATCGTTCCTTTGAACGATTTAACCGAATGATTTATCGGTTGGTTTCGATTATAGTCAAGTCCAGTGATTGTATAAGGAAGATGAAAGCTCCTCTCTTACAAGTGGAAATATGATTAATGCGATCGGACACTGTTATGTACTAGTTTTTAAGTTAAGCTGTGCTCACGCTTTTGTATATATCATTGGGAGGACATCCTCTCATTTTTCTTTGAGACATTAGAACAGGAATGGAGAACATTAATCACAAAGATATAAATATTTAATCGATTCATCTTTACAGTCTTTAACATTTTATAAATATATATTGTTAATTCGTGAAAGGATGTAAATGTCAATAATAATGAATATGCGATAACGATTGGATTGGAAATTTTTCTCTAACGGAGAAGCAACTCGCGATAGAAGAAAAGAAAAAAATATCATAATTAATAATGTTAATAAATTAATATTTATCTCTAATCAACAGTTAACATTCCAATCGATTAACATTGATTGCTAATTAAACAAATGCGCGATGCACATTCAATCCCAAGGTGATGGTGACGCCAGTCTATGGTATGTTTAAAATAGAATAGAAAGATACACAGAAAGTACCTTACAAAATACCTTCACTTTATGCAGAATCAAGAAAAGTGAAATGTGTGGAATAAATGAAGAAACGAGATGCAAATGCAAATATGAATGATAAAAATGGTGGAATGTAAATTGCGCGTTGAACGTTATTTAAACAAAATAGGAAAATAAATCGTGATATAGTAATTGCCATTACCATTTATGTAAAATTCTACTGTAATCGTCATGAATTCACTTTATATGTACATCCTTTTTAGAAAAGATTGCTTGAAATTGAAATAAATCTCGAAAATGATCATTGAATAATTATTGATAAGAAAATAGAACAATTTTTTATTTCTATTATGCTACTTGCTCCTGGATAGATTATTTTCGTTTAGATATCTTTTTGTGTATAAGAAGAATTTTGGAAAAAAAAATATGATTATAATTGTAAAAGTTTTCAGATTCATAATTTAATAATATTTAATTCATAATTTATAATTATAATAGTTAAAACGAAATTCATCAGATAATCTCATTATTGAGTTAATAAATTCAAATATTTCAGCAAAATAATTTATTTGTATTTCATATTGTATTATATGTAAAATCAAAATAATAAGATATACGAAATAAATTATCATTTCTAACTGTTATATGTTGTTTTATTTCGAATAAAATACATACCAATTCCGTTGAAACGAACGACTAAATATGATTTGTTTGTATAATTAACGAGAGAACAATACAGAATAAATAAGATTATTCATGATATTCAAAAGATACAGAATTTTTTTCGATGATATCAGTATCTAAAGTATAATTAAATTCAGATTATCTCATCGATAATTTTGAAGAAACGTAGGATTGCAATCAGTATTGATCAGCATGATTAAGTAATTAAATATGCAACAAACTTGGTTTAAATTTTAACGATATAAATGAAAATATGAAAAATATTTGTTTTTTTATGATTTCTTGAATTTTCTTTAATAAATATTTATTATCTTTAATAAATAGATTTATAAACAAAATAAATAGATTTATAAATAATTTAAAAATGCTTGTAAAAATTGATGTTTTGTAATGATGTATTTTATTTTATAAATTAATATTTTAAATAATTTTTAATATAATATTAGCTTATCTTAGCAAATTATTAAATAAATTATAATCTTTTTTAGCATTAAATATATTATAAATTAGAAACATTGATTTTTAAATTTGTAAAACTTTCAAAATTTAGAATGCTTATTTATTATTTCTTCCTTTTTTCCTAAAAAAAAAATATATATTATTGATACTAAAATATCAACAAATTTTGATTTCTTTGATTTATAATCAACTTTATATACATACATACAAAGTTAAATCGATAGTTAAGTTCCCTCCCTCAATTTTCAAAATCAAATTTTTTTAGATAAATAAAGCTTAATAACTTATTCCTATAAATTATCGTTTATGTACTGTATATAACTTGTTAATTTCCAAAGAATTTCAAGATTTCGAGATTTCCCAAAAGCGCACGTACACATCCAAACACACACACACACACATACTTACTCGTTATTTCATTATTTCAATCATCACCTCTTTACCGATCAAATCTCAAGCTACGCGATTCCACGCTCGGCCACGTCAAATTATCCCATAATAATATAAGACAGGGGCGATATAAATCACTGTCAAGCGTCTTCCTCGACCTCTCACCTTCCATTACACGTTTCGGTGGTACCAATCTCGCGCCGTGCCCCGACCGGTTTGCCACCGGATCGATATATCACAAAGCAACCCCCGAAATCCACAAAATCCGATAAACCGGCGAGAAATACGGCCCTTGAGCCAACGCCGCTCATCGTTCGTGATACTCGCCGTTAAAGAAATTATGACAATTGAGTAAGCATCCTTTAACGGGGACCTGATGACATTTAGCGCAATGTGACATGCTGATCCCCGGGAAGGTAATCTCTCTCCAGGTGATGTACAGTGTGTTGTTGTCCCTGCACACGTCTCCCCGCACACACGCGCACACGTACACACATCGCGCGCGCGTTAAATGAGGATCCGTGTAACCCCTCTTAAGGCGCCTCTGCCTCTGTGTCACTATGTCTCCCTCTCTGTCACCCACGTAACCGGCTCTCTGTCCCCCCGGTGTGTCGCCGTGTCCCATGTGCGTCCTCTTAGGTGCACGGTGGCTATCGTTACTTGGCCAAATGGTCGTATTGGTGATGCCTCCAGGGGTATATATACGACGAGCGCTGCGGGGCTTGATAAACACTTGCCCATCAGCGATTACTGCTGCAGCATGTACACGTCACTGGTAAGCGTAATTAAGAGACACGGAGAGATAGATAGAGAGATTGAGAGAAAGAGAGAGAGAGAGAGATAGAGAGATTGAGAGAGAGAGAGAGAGAGAAAAATCGCAGGTGAACAAAGATTAGGAACGAGGAGATCTAGGGTGAATCTCGCTGGGGGTGTTGAAGATCTGGTCTGACCCTATCGGAACTAGTGAACCCTATAATACGGGAAGATTCGTCGAGTGCCGTCGAGATCCGCGTTCTACGCGTTTTTTTTTCTGTGCGCGATTGTGACACACAACCGTTTGTCTGTGCCGTTTTGAACCGACCGATTCGTGGACGTGTTTCTTTTCTGGGATGGATGTTCAAAGGAACGAAAGAGGGTCGAGAGTAGAGAGGTATAGTGAGTAGAGAGGATAGATGAGTGTATCAACCCCCTCAAGGATATCGTCGTGAATCACGACGCATCATGCGCGTATGTATCTGATATCTGGATTTGGATTTCGAAAGTTTTTTAGATAATCTTGTTAAATTATGTATCGCGTTTGTTTCGATTTTTGCATTCATAATGTAAATTAACAATCTTTCGTTTTTTTGATTAATTAATTTTATCGATAATTATTCGCAAAATCTCGATTTAATATTTATTTATGTATTTATTTATATGATTACGTAAATTGTTTACACGAAAAAAATATCGAGAAGTTTTCGGGACGATATATTTAACGAACTGAAATTTAAAAAATTTCGATCAGGATTAGATGACAATGAAGAATCTTTAGAGAAGATTAGAATGAATAGATGAGAAGTATAAATAGCAAAGATGATTGAGAAATATAAGGATAAAACGAAAAGAATATGGGAAAATATAATTAAATTGCAAATTAAAATTTTTATGAAACTTAAAACTGAAGAAATAAAACGTGATTTTTTTTAAACATAACTTCACTTTGGATATTTTCCATTTTTGTTTTTTTTATCATGTGTATTTTTTATACAAGATGGTAATATATTTAGAGATCAAAATAAACACAAAACGTATAAAAATAAAACTTAATCGAGGCTATTTATTATTCTCTGTCTCTGATATACTCTCAAATTTAAATTGCTCATAATTTAATAAACAAGTCTTAACATTTTTATTCATCAACTCTATTTTATTTTTAGAATCGATTTTCCAAAAATATGTTACGAATATATCGGTACCCTATACAATAATTAACACAATCGACAAATAATTTTATTCTATCGTAACAATTTCATTAAAAAGAAAATAAAATCTCATCGCAGAGAAACGTACGAAACACTCGAATCGAGCGCTAGTAACAATCTATGTCTGACTTAATATAACTGTCGCACTACCGCCCGAGTTATGGCTGACTCGAAATGGTATCACTACGCTGCGCTACGTTGTTTTCGACAATACAGGCCACTCGTGGCCACTCGAAATTGAGCGATAGACAATCTTGCAATTCGATTTCTCAAATCTATATATCTCGATGCATCGTTTAAATCCAGTCTCGTAAACGCGCAATTACGCGGGAATCGCGAGATAATTTATAGATGTTTAAACACAATAATGTGTAAACACTGGTATATACGGCGCATGCGCATACGCGAGAACATTTAGTGTCCGCCATACCTTGACGTCTTTACATGGTAATTCGAAGCAGTGTTTGTTTTACTGCTCAACTATAATGACCAACATCGCGTTAAGGATTTGTGCAAACTTCGAATTCGCTTAAATTGAATGCGTTGCCACCAGTTTCAATGTTTCGCGCGGGAAATTTCGAATCGTTTCATTGTATCATATATATTATATACATTTAACTAAAATTATGAAGATAATTAGATATATTGAATCGAAATCAGTATTAATTTTATCAATAGTAAAAAAGAAAAAATCTAAAACTATTTCACTTAATTATAGTGTTAACATTAGCGACAAACATTAGAATCATGTATTTAAATTTAGTTTAAAATCTTTAATTCTACAATTACAATAGCATGTACAATATTGAATTAAAATTTTAATACACTTACAATTAATTATAAACGAGAAATAAATTCTATTCACCGCGAATCTTAATTTCGTAAGAATATTCAGACAAGCATCGATCTCTTCTCGTCCCAGTTTCTTCAAACTAACTAAAACACTCTTGTCACTTTTTTCTCGAGCTAAAAGTTGTAACAACGAACGACACGAAGATCGTGGATCCATTTTGAATAAACGCGAGCCAATAAAACGAGC